TGTCAGCCCCACCAGGCTTTTCGGCCCCAGCCACAGTCCTTTCCTGCGGCGGGGACCCCGGTGCCACGGGTGCCCCCACTCAAGGTAAAGAGAAGTGAAGGCAGATCCGCAGAGCAGCCTTGCATGGGCCAGGTCAGCTGGTGGCTCTCACCGAAATGCTCTGTCAGTTCTAGTTACGTGTGTAAGTTATGTTACCTGCTTATTTTAGTGATGGAAATAATCGATCCCAACCCGTAAAAGCTCAGCGGTTTGCTAAAGGGAGTCTGCTGGCTGGCTAACCAACCTGACTGCAGTTAAGTGTCTCTCATACACATGCATGTGTTAAAAGATCTCTTGGGCAGAAGCTCAAGCAATCGTGTGAAAGCCCAAGGCTGGGTGTAACAGGGAGCACTGCAGTTCATGGTGGAAACCGGGGAGAGCTGCGGAGGAATAATAACAAAGCAAGTTGTAGCCCAGGAGCGCATGGAACTTTGCTGACAGGCGGGTAGCCCAAGCAGGACAATAACAGAAAGAATGCTATCATAGAATCACAGAATGTTTTGGGTGGGAAGGGACCCCCAGAGCCCACCCAGCCCAACCCCCTTGTCACCACCCTCACTGGAAAGCATGTCTTCCTTAGATCCAGTCTAACCCTCCCCTGCTTCAGTTTAAAGCCACCCCCCCTTGTCCTGTCCCAGCTGGCCCTGCTAAAAAGCTTGTCCCCCCCTTTCCTCTGGGCCCCCTTGAAGCCCTGACCGGCCGCACTCAGCTCTGCCCGCAGCCTTCTCTTCTCCAGGCAGCTTCCCCTATTATATCCAGTCCAGAAACCGAATTATTTACCTGTGTGTAAAAAAAGACCATTTAGAAATAAGTGCAGTTCTCATTTGCACCAGCTGCATGCAGCGTGGCGCCAGGCAAGGCGGCAGGGAACGACTATTCCAGGGAACATCTCGATTCCAGCAGCCCTTTGGCTGCCGAGTCTCCTGCACTCGAGGTGCAGGTCTAGGACCCCCCGCCCGAGCTGCCGGGAGACACCCCGCTGGCAGGGAGCGAGGGCGCGCCGTCAGACCTGTGGCTCCCTCTCGGGGAACCTTCACAAGACCGCGCGTGTGCAGGTGACACCGGTTCTTCCTTCAGTCGTGTTACGCCCCACAGTAGATACTAAATGGATGAATCACAGCAGAAACATTTTTTTGCAGTCCTGTGTGACTATGAATGGAAAACTTTGGTTTCTGTGGAACAGGGCCTGTGCTTTTTCTAACGGAATTTGCTCCAGTTAAAGTTCAGCTCCCCGGTTTGGGGCCTTGGGCAGAAGCTGGAAGAGAAAAACGGCTTAATTACTGATTTCTGTGTGTCCCAAGAGTTCTCCTCTCCCATTCAGATTCTTTTATACTAGGAACTATACAAACACAAAATGTTTAAAACGGTTCGTTATTGTGTTAATACGTATAGCACGAAGGTAGGAACGCATTAATAAAATTCGTTAGTGACACAAATTGGGGGAAAACTGTCAATAAAAGAGGTTTGAAATACCGTAGGGAAGAATGGTTGACCTTCCAGTGTAACAGCGGGGATTTCATGTAATAAAAGCGTGAATTTAAGGGCGATTGAAAATAGTGTCCCCTGCAAGGCAGAAGACGTGTCGTTCCTCAGAAAAGAAGGAAGCAGTGAAGGGGTTAATCAGAGGACGAGCAGGAGGCAGCGAGGTACGGCAGGTACATGAAAACAGATGTAACCTTAAAATACCCTCGCTTCAGTCTCTGCAGCGCAGACCCAAGATCGCTCACGTCAGGGCACTGGTCTTGGCACTCGCGTTCTAGAAGGAACAAACGTGCAGAGAGGTAACGGGAGCGATGAGGGGGGCAGGGAACCTGTTGTAGAGGAAAGGACTAAACCAGTGGCCCTTCATCTACCAAAAGGGCGGGGAGGTCGTTATCAGGTTGTGTAAAGTTGTGTCCAGTTCTGGGCTCCCCAGTTCAAGAAAGATGAGGAACTCCTAGAAAGAGTCCAGAGGAGCGTGGCCAGCAGGGCGAGGGAGGTTCTCCTCCCCCTCTGCTCTGCCCCAGTGAGACCCCACTTGGAGCTCTGTGTCCAGTTCTGGGCTCCCCAGTTCAAGAAGGGTGAGGAACTCCTGGAGAGAGTCCAGAGGAGGGCAACAAGGCTGATGGGGGGACTGGAGCATCTCCCCTAGGAGGAAAGGCTGAGGGAGCTGGGCTTGTTCAGCCTGGAGAAGAGAAGGCTGAGAGGGGATCTCATCACCACCTACAAATATCT